TGACTCGGTCAGCGTGTTCTGACTCTCTCAGCGTGTTCTGACTCGGTCAGCGTGTTCTGACTCTCTCAGCGTGTCCTGACTCGGTCAACGTGTCCTGACTCGGTCAGCGTGTCCTGACTCGGTCAGAGTGTTCTATCTTGGTCTGCGTGGTCAGCGTGTCCTGACTCGGTCAACGTGTCCTGACTCGGTCAGTGTGTCCTGACTCGGTCAGCGTGTCCTGACTCGGTCAGTGTGTTCTGACTCGGTCAGAGTGTCCTGACTCGGTCAGCGTGTTCTGACTCGGTCAGTGTGTCCTGACTCGGTCAGCGTGTCCTGACTCGGTCAGTGTGTTCTGACTCGGTCAGTGTGTTCTGACTCGGTCAGAGTGTCCTGACTCGGTCAGTGTTCTGACTCGGTGTTCTGACTCGGTCAGCGTGTCCTGACTCGGTCAGTGTGTTCTGACTCGGTCAGAGTGTCCTGACTCGGTCAGTGTGTTCTGACTCGGTCAGAGTGTCCTGACTCGGTCAGTGTGTCCTGACTCGGTCAACGTGTCCTGACTCGGTCAGCGTGTCCTGACTCGGTCAGAGTGGTGTGTTGCAGTTCCTCACAGCGATGGTCTGGTACAGCGACTTCTTGTGCTGCTTCTTGAACTCTGTCCTGATCTTCATCAAGTCGACTTCACAGCGAGACACCATGATCCTGGTCAGGACTTTCTCTTTGGCTCCTTTACTCTGATGGGAACAGGTCACCTGGTCAACATGGTGGAGAACCAACAGGTCGCAGACAGATGGATTAAAGTTTTACCTTCATGGCTTCATTCAGTCTGTTGGCAAAGTACAGCTGTTTGTTCTCGAAGCACTCCACTGAGGAGAAAAAAACACAATCAGTTCACAAAGTCCTCTGAAACTATTTCATTTTCTAATTTCAGTATCTTTCACAGATTTTTCTAAAGACACAGGAACAGATTGTGTTACTGTGTTTGGCACATTTTTCATGTGTGTAACCCACATATTCAGCTCTACAGCTCATCCCACAAATGCATGTTCCTTACAAATGTGGCTCCATTTAAAAGGGAAATTAAAAGGCTTTCCAACGCTACACTAAGCATTGTTACAACAAAGAAATCATCTACACAACAATTTACTTACATTTTGTGCTGAGTTGATATAAATATGCAGACTGTATGAATCTATAACAAACTGTTGACTGTATGGAAGAGCCTGAGGCTGTTCAAATAAAAATAAAGGCCCTAAAAATACAGTTTTAGTGTTGGATAACAGCTGAAACAGTACTTTGTTTTACTGTATGTATTTACATTGTTCCAGTGAACAGGGTGTTAGTGTCACTGTTTATTTGACGTCAGTATTTCTTGGATTTGTTGTTGTTGTTTACCCAAAGTCAGGAAGGACTTCTCCAGATCTCCCTTCACCTCCTTCCTGATGCTCTCCTTTATGTCGTACGGACTGTAGCACTTGTAGCGCTCAAACACTAACAGACAAGAAGGACACAACAGACGTTACAGTACAGTACAGTACAGTGTAGTACAGTACAGTACAGTACAGTGTAGTACAGTACAGTACAGTACAGTGTAGTACAGTACATTACAGTGTAGTACAGTACAGTAC